GGACCCAGCTGAGCGAATGTAAACTATGGAATAGAGTGGATGTTTAAAAAAAAAACAGATATTTTACGGTGTATTAAAAGATGCCGCTCCTTTAAAATGCAACCTTTGCGTGGGGTTTATGTTCCTCCTGAACCCCCTTATTCAGGTCTCTGATTATAGTGATTTCCTTCCCATTAGCTTCGCTCGACTGAGTGTTGATGAGAATGGGTATCCCACGGAAGCAACTGATAATTCATGATCAAATTTAACCGATGAGTGGGTCTCACGATCTATTTATCTTAACTCGACGTGCGTATCAATTCGGTCAGATACTACATACCAGCACAAGATGATATTGTAATCATATTTTCAATATAATCACTGTTCCCAGCAGCCCTTCTGTATTGCGTTATACGACGATTTTTATATTAATATGTATTACGTAGATACTTACGGAGCGCGAAATCACCAAAATCGTCGTCTTCGGTGACGCCGTTGCTGCTCATCTTGTCCCAGCCTATATTATATAATATATATACGAAACAAATTAAAGCAAACAATAATTAACATAAATAAAAAAAAAAAAAAAATGGTAAACTTATACGATACTACACGAGTAAGTACAACGATTGTACGTACTACAAGGAATATAACATGTTATAAAACGATAATTATAAAACCGGTGAACGAAAAAAAAAAAAATAAATGAATAAGTGTAAAAGAAACACCTGGCCCATCACGTCACTTACGCAGTGCTACGATGTTACACAAAGACATCAAAGCGAAATGGAATGCCTATCGGCCGATCTGCTATACAATATAACGGTAATATTACACAACAGCGCGATTTACACCACAGCGTCAATTATTTTTTCGGCGTACTACTGGCAGCGCGGCGGAATGGGAACGGTCCAAAATGATGAGCAAACGGCAGATTGGTGTTTTGGACGGCGGTCAAAATATACACGAGAGTTTAAAATAATATACGAACCTCGACGACGACGGTGACGGCGACGGGGAGGGGCACGGACAATATTCCGTATAGTGTGCTAGAGATTCGTGTACTCGGGCCGTGTACGCGTGCGGGCGTGCGTGCGTTTCGGACGCGAATTACGAGAACGCTATCAGGTTCGACTTGAGGTGGGGAGGGGATGTTAGCCGGAGCTGTAGCTCTAGAATTCGGGCCCGACCGATGCGACTGGGTCCCATATATTTAACCCTGATTTTCATATCGACAAAAAAATTATTCATAACAGTTTACTTAAAAAAAAAAAAAACAATATACTATCATATAATCGTATTACTTTGTACCATGCACGTTTTGTGCTTTCAAATACCTTATAACACTGTTAGTGTTAATGATGGTAAGTTTAACGTTTCGCAATGCGAGCGATTAGTTTGTCCCTGGGGTCCGCGCTTTCTCTCTCCGACCCTGAACGCACAATTATTCTTTCGGTCGGATATTCAATATTTACTACGATGATGCGGAACGCGATATCGACGTACGAATAATTATTTCGGGACGACTCGAAGATATTATTAGGTATCCGTTGAACAGCGCCAGCCGGTGCGCGTAATATTATTACGGACTCTATCCGAGTTCGGGCCAAGCGGCACGTGTAAATGCGTCGTGGTTTTTCGTCGATTAGCACCCGGGATCTTGGGTTTAAACTTTATATTTTCTTACGGTATTTCGATAATTTCGATAAATATAACGATTTAAAAATGTTCCTCATACCTCGTTTTGAAATTAAACGATTATCAAAAAAAACCAACGTATAAAAACACGGATATGTACTCAACTTTAAAGTTTTATAGTAGGTCAATTTACTCTTATACTTTTCCAACTCGTTCCCAATTGTTAGAAAATTAAAAGGATAATATAATCAAGAAAATTACACCATCCATAGTGCAAGTATGTAAATATTATAAATAAATTTATTTATTATTATAATTTATTATTTTATATGAGTATAAAATTGATTATCTTTATATTTTTGCAAAATCAAATGCTGCGACACTAATATTTTTCGGCCATCGTGGCTTCACTGGCTGTTAAAGTGATTCAAAATTAATGGATACTAGTAGACCGATGTCGCATTTAGTGATATTATTGTTTCATAACGAGTTGGTATTTTCTCAAATACCAACTGTGGTTTTACCGAATGTGTCATTTTTATGTAGCCACAATATTATGTTGTAAATTTTAAAATGTGTATTGAAAGTATTGAAAGAGTTTGGACAGAAAATTAACTTAAGTTGTGTAAAACATATAATATGAATTATATGGTGATTACAAATGGTGAGCAGTTTACATTATAGTATACCTTTTAGATTCTGAAAGATGCGAAGAAGCTTATAGTATTACAAAGATTGTAAGTATTGGTTAGAAATATAAAGGCATTATTTTTCCTTGTGAACAACTTTTCTAACAGAAATTTTGGTCTGATTTACAAAGATACCTCTTTTTCTGAAAATAAATCTAACTGGAAAGGTACTTTAGGGAGGTCATTTTTTTATTTTTCCAAGAGTTTTCTCAAAAATGCTAAAAACGGGAAAATATACGAAATATAGGTTAATTTTGACAAATTAGATATTTGTGTTGTAAATAATAGTTATTTTTTTCGTTCAGATATATATGAAGTATAAGATAGCCAACTACTATATTATATTATACTTTCCGTTATAATCATTAATTATTACCACAACAGTAATTTAACTAGAGGGCAATAGGCCCTATCATACATTTGCATCTTTAGATATGAGTACAGTTCAAGGAATAGTTATTCGAAAAAATGATAAGAATAGTTTTTAACCGCCTTTTTATCAATAAAGAAAAAGTTGATTAAAACTTTATAAAATACTAAACCAATTATTTTAATTGATTTTATTGAATTTTCAAAACTATTTTGTATATTAATTCAAAGAAAAATCTGAACTATTTAGAACTCTTAATTGTGTGGCTATACGTTTGTGGGATAGTGTATTCTACAATTTTAACATATTCGTTAAGACAAAACAGTCACATTCAGACATTTTTATTTGTACATAAAACAGATCAGTAAAAAAGTTTTTAATAACTAATTTTTTTTTCAAATTAATTTTGAATGTGAATAAACATATTTTTTTAATTATTTATAATACATGTTATTTTAAATTTATAAACAATAAATAATTAATGTACTAAAATGACAAAAACGACAATATAAAATATCAGCATACGAAGTGTCTTTATTCGTTGTTTAATTTTAATTTGCGTAATTTAAATTAATTGACATGAAGCGAGGTTCAGTTTCAGTTTATTAGAAATTAAACTACCTACCAACTCTTAGTTATTTTATAAATAATAATGTAGTAAAGTCATGATCAATACTATTATAGGTCATATAATATTATGCTACGTAAACTTACATTATAGCAGTTAATAGATTAACAGGAAAGTAAATACTATTGAAAGATACAGTGTGTGTGTCCCCGAATTTTCGAAGATGGACGCCCTTGAATAAGACTACAGAACAGCTCAAGTAAAAATCGGGACACATTTTGTCTCTCCGATAACGTATAGGTTGCCTACTTAAAAATGTTACGGCATTGAATCTAAGATTATGTAAGTACCTCTTAATTTCTGATTCAAAGATATATATAATCATAGATAGTATAATGGAGTACCTATGAAGTGTAATAATAATTATGGTATTTAATACAAACATATTACAATAAAATATATACAAATTGTTAACAAAATAAATTAATACGTAACTAAACAAATTTTAAAATTATTAGTAAACAAATTAATAATTATTAAAAAAATAAAAATTCATTAATTTTTAGCCAAATCATTAGTTTATTTGTACACGAAAATTCTTGGGAACATCCTATTCAGTGGAAACAAAAGTTATAATATTTGTTTTGATCATTTGTATTTGGATTACAAAATATTTTACTATCAGTAACACCTTCACCAGTAGACATACCATTAAATTGATTCTTTTTATTGGTATTACAATAATTGTTTGTATTATTCATGAGTAATTTTTTTAGTTGAATAAAGTTATTATTCATCGCCTCCAAAATCCCCAGAAGTTTGTCATTTAATGAACCTGAAAAAGAAATTTAATATAGATAGGAACCTGTTTATAAAGGTAGTAACCTAACATTTTTCATAAATTGTAAGCACTTGGGTGTAGCAAGCTATGTTCATATTCAAAAAATATCATAGCTATCTGTTATATATCTAAGCATCCATGTCCATTAATACTTGTTAGATACCTAACTAGTTTCGGAGATAAATTATTTAAAAATATAGTATTAGTACACATTAGTACGACCGTTTTTAAATTCACGACATCATTTAAAAACACTTACGGTTCTCAACACAACAATACTTAACCAACATAGCAAAAATATATTCCTTCTGACCATGATGATGTTAGTACATTTAGTTTTTGGAGATAACTCGTAGTAAGACACTACCTAGCTATTATGATTAATACCAATATTCACTCCGTACAGTGACATACAAGGATTTTTATAAAAGTTCCACGAAGTCTATATTAAATCTATTAAGAATTATTAAATAAACATATACATTATTTGTGCAATTATAGAAAACCGTGATAGCTCAAAAAAGTAAAAAATTAAGTTGGTATTTTTATAATGGATATAATGGATATTCTATCATTGAAAATAATTAATATATTTATTATAAATACAAAATTGAATATTCAAATTTGATTTATTTTAAATTTAATAAAAATAAAAATAACATTGATGTTCAATATTCATGGTATATATTTGTTACAAAAGAGTAACCTACTATATTATATGAGTACCTAAATATTAAATTTTAATATGATTCCTACTTAAAATAATACATTATAATATAATCACAAAGTATAATCAACATAACATTCTGACTATGCAACATCTCTCTCCTTAAAAAAAAATATATATATAACTGTATGATATACTTTGATACCTAATTGCTATGTTAGTATTTCTTACATATGAGTATTATATGATTATATTTGAATGATAAAAAAATAATCATAATCACTTCGAGAATATCGCTGAGGTGGCTTACTAGATCCAATTGATCTTGGTGTCTTAGATTTACATGATTTGGCCGGAACGCATGAATTAGATTCACATGATTCAGCCGAAACGCATGAATTAAATTTACATGTTTTATTCGGAACGCATGAATCGCATGATTTAATCGTTTTATTATCGGTCATTACTAATCGTGATTCAATAACTTCAGATCTTATATCATTCTTTGGTGAATCATGTGATGAACCATTTATAGTACTAAATGCTGTGCATTCGTGTTCATAATGTCCATGATTTTTATAAAAACAGCAAACATGTGCCTTCATATTACATTGAAGTGTATTTATAGATTCCCATGATGATTCAGCGGAAACAAATGTCATAGACTTACAAGGTTCAGCCGAAGCGCATGAATCGCATAATTTAATCTTTTTATTATCGGTCATTGGGTATCGTGTTTTAAAAATTTCGAATTTTTTATCATTTCTTCCTTTTATTAAATCTTCATGTTTTTGCTGATATTCTATCATTTAAAATTATTTATTTATTTACTATAAATATGAAATTTAAAGTACAAAATTGATTTATTTTCAAAATAATTTTTAAAAATATAACGTTGATATTTAATATTCACAAAATATATTTATTATAAAAGAGTTTCCTACTATATTTAACTGTTATTTTGTAACCTTGCTGTTAATAGTAAATTGAATTAAGGACCTACATAGGTAAACAAAAATCAAGAGACTCATTAACCTAACTACTCTTTCCTTAAAAAAAAAAAAACAAAATGAATAATTGATATTAATACTATTAAAATAACATACCAAAAAACGGTAAAAGAAACTTGTGTAATTTTTTTAATTTTTTTATTTAGTCTATAGCTTTTTAAATAAATAATAACAAAAAAGACAGACATATTTTGCACGTGGATGGGCCATTGTTGTAGGTGAAAAGCAGGTGAAGATAGTAGAGGGTAAATTTAATATATTTATATGTATACCCAACAATTATCCATTGCTAACGAAAAAATTAATCTGAGCGGAGTTCGGTTGAAAGTGTTGCTTTGTCAACAATATATAATATGTCATATAATGGTAAAATAATTACATTTTATTTTATACATTTTACATTATAATAATAATATTTATTCAAATAATTAAATAAATGAATAAAACGGGCCTGGACTCAGTGGTAAATGTCGGTTAAAATTACATTACGAATAATATGCAATATCCCATCAATATATAGTGGTCAATTAATAATAATAGTACGACAATAGATACCTAGTGAATAATAGATTGCGCGATAATTTATAGAATACGACGTTTTCAACAGCATTTTCAAATCCTAAAGCAGGTAGATTAACAAATTTATTTTTATACATTTAGTAGATAAACTTAAATTACGATATTATACACAAATATACACTATTATATGTCTTACATAATCGAAAGAAATATTATTAGTATCAAATTTGATTTTTTTTGTTATTACTATTATTTAAATTATTGGTTAATTTTTTAAAGCTCACTTGTGAAAACCTATTATTATTATTTTAATTATACACAAAGTGTATATTATGAAACTATCCATTTACTAATCAATCTTATCGCCCCATGAAAAAAAATAAATATAATATTGTATAATTTATAATAAATCGAAAATTATAAAATCTCATAGAGTAAAATTTTTAAATATTAAGACTCGTGCCCCATTTCTGGCATCAATCAAATGAAATATTTAATTCGTGTTATAAAGTGATACAGACATCGATAGAGTAAACACAGGTATACATTTTTAAATCATCTGTAAATAACAGAAATTGACAATTACTGAGAATTGAAATGATATCATTAATAAATATAAGGAATAGGAGGGAAAATAGATGTATTCCCTGTGAAGTACCAGATGTGACTGCACTGGTGTTATAATAGAAGAGAAACCTTATACTCTAGAGAATTGAAATCTATAAGTTAAATATGATTTAAATCAAGATAGTAATGGATTACCGAATCCTACGCGTTTAAGTGCAATAAGAAATAGTTCATGGTCCACACGGTTGAAGGCTTTTTTGGAATCCGTAAAAATTACATCAATTTGGCTATTTTCCTTAAAAGACACTAAAATAAAATTTTTAAAGGATGATTTAAATATTATTGTGAAGCTGCCTATTCTAAATCCATGTTGCCTGCGATCAAGAACATTAAAAACCGGTATTAGAACAATTTTTTCATGCTGTTTCTTAATCTGAAAAAGTTCAGAAATAAGTCTATAGTTTCTAATATCCGTTTTATCGCTTTTTTTAAAAAAACTAGGGCAAAATAACTTATTTTCCAAACTAATGACAATACACTTTTTTTTAGTGATTTAGAAAATAATAAATATGTTGGTAAGGTTACAGAGTCAAATATATTTGCGTTATATATATTTTTTTTTTTTTATAATGTTTGTTTATTATTGTACCCAATTTATAATTTAATTTAGGGCCCTATTCAAAAATTACCCGAGAATCATTATTCTCAAGTAGGGCTCTACCTATGTCCTAACAATGCACATTTGTATAGAATATAGATAATATTTTAAATAGATTGTATACCTTCTTGTTTTTGAACATGCTCATCATTTTTGTATTTTTTTACATATTTATGTTCAGTATTATCCATACGTTCATTAAATTCTTCCATAAAATATCCTTCTTCTTCTATACAATTTTCCTCGTTTTCAACAATATAATATTCTCCACCTTCTTCCATATCATATTCCTCTTCTTCTTTAATATAATATTCAGAAAAACATGAATTAGATTTACACAATTCAGCTGATAATTACTGGTATAAAAATGTTTCAAAGGGAAAACGAGGCTATTATATATATAACTAAAAATTACATTTCGGGCCCCATTATTCTTAAGAGGACTCTACCTATGTCCAAACAATGTACATTTGTATAGAATATAAATAATATTTTAAATAGATTATATACCTTCTTGTTTCTGAACATTCTGATCGTTTTTGTATCTTTTTACATATTCATGTTCAGTATTATCCATACGTTCATTAAATTTTTCCATAAAATATCCTTCTTCTTCTATACAGTTTTCCTCATTTTCAACAATATAATATTCTCCACCTTCTTCCGTATCATATTCCCCACATTCTCCCATATCATATTCCTCTTCTTGTTTAATAAAATATTCAGAAATCATAAATTAAATAAATATGATTTAGCTGATAATTACTGGTATAAAATATATTCAACATTATTAAAACATTTTTTTTCTAAAACCTAATTTTGTATATTTTCTCGTTTTTCCTTCGCTTTTTTCGGGTTTTCCCATTTGTTAGAAAAACTTCTGAGAAAATCAAAAAATGAGCTCCCTAATTATATGCCAATTCCGATTTCCTTATAGAAAAAGTGCTGAACTTGAGAATTGGATCAAAAATGCTAAAATAAAAGATGTCTACAGAAAAAAAAATTATCATTGTAAAACTAAAATATTCCTCCCTCTGCTTAGAATCTAAAAATTAGATATTAAAACTTTTTATATTATAATTGGTTATTTAGTTATGGAACTGGCTTAGGGAAAAAATTTAATTTGTAATTTCATTTAAAGGCCCAATCAAAAAATTAGGCCTAGACGCCATTATTCTTAAGTAGGGTTCTACTACTCTCTATTCTTTTTTTTTTATAAGAATTTATAAGAACCGTTTTACAGCTCCTTTGAGAGTTATTTTGAGAATATCGATCAATTATAAAAAAGTATTATAAAATTCTTAATTAATTGTTTCATCATCGAAATCGTTATTCGACAAATATGTATTAATTGTTTTAGTATTTAACATTTCTTTTTACTTTTTTTACAGACAGTAGGCAAATTACCGTTCTCATGGTAATGAATGCAATTATAGATCTTCAACCGTGAATCAGGAGATTTACAAGATTCAGCTGAAATGCATGAATCGCACCGTTTAATCTTTTTATTATAGGTCGTTGATGATTGCTTATCAATAATTTTAGATAATAGTTTTTTTCTTTCTTTTAATGCATCATAAAGTTTTTGTAGACATCCTTTTGAGAATTATTGAAAAAAATTAAGATATTAATTATAAATATTAAATTGAATACACAAATTTGATTTATTTTAAATATAATTTTAATAAAGATGATATTGATACTTAATATTCATAAAATATATTTATTATAAAAGAGTTACCTACTACTTATATTATAATATTTTTACCTAACTGTTATCTATAGACCTTAATGTTATAGTAAATTGAGTTAAGGTCCTATATAGGTGGACAAAATTTAAGAGGGTTTATTGTGGACTATTTGTATAAATAATGTATGTATTATTTGTGTTTTAACACAAACGTATGTTATATACCTTTATTGTTATAAACTAAATCCTCATATGTGTACAATATAAAATTGTTTACTGACTAAAGACCGATGGTCCATCCTCGATGAATAATATGATATTTAATAATGTGTAATGAGTGTAACCAATATAAAATGCGGATTATGCAACATCGCTGTCCTTAAAAAAAAATACATAACATTGTATGATATACTTTAATACTTAATTGGTATGCAAGTATTTCTTATATACGAGTATTATATATTTATATTTGAACTATACAAATTAGTTATAATCATTTGTAGAATATCGCTGAGGAGGTTTTCTAGATCTAATTAGTCTGGGTGTCTTATATGACTACGTGATTGGAATTTGATCTATAAACGTTTGCTGAGCTTTAGTTTATTTTATTAGGAGGTGTAAGGGAAATAGAATTGTTTAGATGTGTCGATAATTTACCTATCACTTCATTATATTGGAAACGGCATAGTTTCCAAATAGTTCCGTCATTCAATTATGCATATTATTATTGATACACTTAATAATTTTACCTACCTTTTTTGCTGTTTTTTTGTTATTATCCCTATAATCTTTAGCTAAAACATAATCGCCTACGTTAAATGATACTGTTATATTACTGGCATTCTTTATTTGAGATAATTATCGTTCAATTACCATTTCACTTGTGGAATTGTGTCGAATTGTAAACGAGTGGATTGGCCTATCATTAGCCGATCTGGTATTTCTCGTGTTGTAAAATATAGTGTAATATGATACATTAAAAGAAATTTATTATACTGAGATTATGCTATCAAACATTTTTTAAAAAAGTTTTTAATTGTTTTGTCTGCTTATGCAACACAGCCGTTCAATACCAGGTGGAATTGTGTGCCTATTAAATGTCTCGTGCCTAGATTTTTGCAATAGAAATTCAAAACCTATTAATTGCATTTAATTGTTTTTGAAATGCCAAATCATGCTAACATTTTTCAAAATTTTTTTATGAAAATTTTCGGAGTCATCTTATTTACTGAAAATGTATCTAATCATTTTACTGTCACGTCAAATATGATAAAAATATTTATTTTTAAATGATACAAGAAAATCTCAATACACCCTGTTCCCCGATTTGTCTGGCCATTTCCAAAGAGATATGACAGATTTTAATGAATTTTGCTTAAAATTAAGACAATTATCTCAATTAAGAGTGATTTTTTTAATTTCCTTATTCATTCCTAGTCAACAAAAGTATGATCTCACCAAACTTTTCATACTAAAAGAACCCATATGACATGAATAAAATTTATTTAATATATTATTTAGAAATTTGGCGGGTATTATAACACGGTAACCCCATAATAAATCGGCATAATAGGCATCCGAACTACTGAAATTTGTGTTTTTAGTGAATTATGCGATTTAAGTTCTAAATTATTAGGAATATTACTATTTCAATCCCCTGGTTTGACAGCGTTTAGTACTATAGCAAGAATTATGTCTCTACTTGTTTCAATTTTTATTTTAGACCAGTCTAGTATGAAAGGTGATTAAAGGTTCTTAAATAAAATTAAAACTAATGTATTTTTTGCATATGCAAATTTAGATACCGCCTCAGGTTTGATATTTCGTATTTATAAAAGTGCCTAGTTCATCTTTAAAAACATTGTTGTATTTGCTATTGACAGTTTCGTCGTTTTCAATATTAAACAAATTATACCATTTTATATTTAATACATCGCTTTGACTTGTTAGTGGACACTATTGTCGATTACATAACGAAATTACATAAATGATTACATTTTTTATTTTAAAATTCTGAATGGACTAATATTTCTCATATAAGTTTAATGTTATTTCCAACGTAATCAGAAAGAGAATTATCTTTTTTTTCTAACTTGATATGACCAAACAGTTAATTATATAATTGTTTTGAAATGATACTGTGTTGTAAACCAAAATCAATTTTGAAATTTATGTAATTTTACTCTACAATTTAATCCATTGTGAACGGTTTTATAGCTCTATTTTGAGAATGATGATCAATTACAGAAAAAAAAAGTATTGAAAAAAAATCGTAATTAACTGTTTCGTACCCCACGAAGTTAATTGAAAAAAATGTATTTATTGTTTTAGTATTTTACTTTTCTTTCTTACTGTGTTTACATAAATATGAAAAATAACCTGTCTCATGGCAATAAATGCATTTAAGTTTCGTCAACGATGAACCATACTCATACATGTGACAGTCACATACATATGACTGATCCGAGACGCATGAGTTGAGTTTACATTTTTCATCCGAAATGTATGAATCGCAAAGTGATTGTGTATCAATGATATCAGATTTTATTTCATTTCTTCCGTTTTTTAAATCGTAATACTTCTGTTGACATCCTAAAATTGAAAATAATTTATATCTATATTTATTGTAAATATACAATTTAATTTAAAAACTTGATTTTTTTTAGGTATAATTTTAATATAGATAACAATGATATTTAATTTTCATATAATATATTTATTATAAAAGAGTTACCTACTATATAATTTAATTAGTACCTAATTGTAATCTATAAACCTTACTATTATGGTAAATTGAACTAAGGATATATATAGCTATATAAGTAAACAAAATCCAAGAGGCTAATTAACCTTTCTGCTCTTTCCTAATAAATAATAGCGTGAATTAATTTACAATAAATACTATTATAATAATATCCCGATTACAGACATTAAAAATTAACCAGTTTGATTTTTGTAATATTATAGTTTTAATGTTTAGTCTACAACGTTTTAAATTAATAACAACAAAACATGATAAAATTACATGACTGTTAAACATTTAAACTACCTTAAAACTTTAGATATTTTATTTTATTATTACCTGTAACTTCCCCTTTGTTTACTGTTTCATTTAAATTAAATTCACTACCAGTCGATTCAGTTATCAATGATTCATTCGAAAAATATGAATTGGCATGGTCACATGATTCAATATTTTGATTGCTCGTCGGTATCAGTGATATTTCAGAAATTTCACGTTGTATTGAGTACTGGGAAGAGAACATTTTGTCATCGTCTTCTTGTTGAGAGCCTATGATTATAAATTAACAATAACTCCAAAAAGAGTAACACTTCAATAGGATTTAATAATTAACCTATCTACATACCTATTAAACAATCTTCCATACTTGTTTTATTTTTTGTCATAACCTATAAATCATATCCTAAATTAGTTATTATTATATTCCAATATTATTTATTACATTACCTATATTAAAATATAAAATGCTAATGTTTTTTTTTTATCGTTAAACACACATAATTATAAAAAGTACTGACGTTTTTGAAAAAAAAATGACAATTTAAGAGACGATAGGAGCTCTAAAATGTAACATTTTCATGAGTTGGTTTGTTCAATTTTCAATGGCACCTTTTAGTTTAAATTACACGAATATATAATGGAGTAGAAAGACTAAATTAATAGGACACTTGTTCAGACATACACATTTGTAAGGAATATCTTCGAAGAAAAGATTTTGGGGAAAAGATCTAGAGGACGCCCAAGAACATCATATTTCCAAGAATTCAAACACCTCATGGATGTCACATCCTATTCACAGCTGAGAAACGTGGCAAATGAAAGAGACATATGGCTATCGCGACAAGGTGCAGCCATTAGATGATGATGATGATGGAGTATTAATTTAAATACATTTTGGTGTTGACATTCTTGATATCCGTCAACCCCTTGATGAGATATTTCGCTCTTACGTTTGTTTAGTAAAAGAGTAGTGGACCGTTGGTAACACCATGTACCCATAGTACCAACCAAATGACACTTAACAAGTCTTCTCTTAAATTAAAATATCTTGTCAACGGGTTGACGGAAATCAAAAATGTCCACACCAATATTTATTTAAACTAATACTTCGTCTATTTATTTAATTTTCACTATAGGTTGCCGATTGAAAATAAAAACTAGGTAGTATTACAAATCGTTATACATAACTGTTACATTTTAATTTACTATGTAACAAAACATATTCATTTTTGAAATGTTATACGCTCATGACAATTAAACGACTATATTGGGAGTTATCGTTTTTGAAGTAAATTGTAATATATATATTAGTTAATAATTATCGGCGGAAACCCATTTAAGAAAATCTATATATATAAGAAAAAAACAGTATACCAGGTAATCTATTTAAGTTAGTACACTCATTATATCGGAAAGTATTAACTTTTTTCAGAATTTGTTTTCTGGATCATTTAGGAAACAAGCTGCTCTAAAATTTAATATATTTATGTTATTTTAAGTCACCCATATTTTTGGGGGTAAAACCACTATCTACTTTTGATTTTCAAGTGTCCACCAAAGTGTGTCCTTGAGGGGGCAATTTCCCATCGCCCCCCCTCACCGAGAGAAGTGAACTTACGTTAATATTTGGCATAGTCAATGGTCCAGAAGTCTATATAATAGATATAATCAATATATTATTTAACACATTTTTTAGATGCTGAGTATCGAAGAATGTATTGGATTTACTATAAAAATATTTTTTTTTCTTTATACTGTGACAAAAATTTCTACCAGAAATCTTGTCTCTATATATACGTGTGACACCATTTATGAAAGGAAATATTGTCTAGATGGTACTTTAGAAAGGTAATTTTTTGATTTTTCAAGCAGTTTTCATAATATCAGGACAACTCAGGATAAAACGTAAGAAAAACAGGAAAATTTACGAAAATAATGCTTTTATTATTTTCAATTTTATTTTTATTGTTATTCAGTTAAAAATATTTGTAGACTTTTAAGTAGTAAACTTATATTTGCCTATTTTTACATGATAATACTGTAAAAATATTTGAGCCATATTTAAAGTATTTATAGACACTTAAATTTTTGTGAGTAATTTTTATTTAATAGGTACTCTGTGGATAAAATTATTAGACAAAACAGAAATGCTTGAAAATTTAACAGGAGGTTAATTATAAGTCGTTCTTCGTAATCAAAAAAAAAAAAATTTAATTTAGTGTATTGTAATTTTTATATTCTTTTTATAAGAATTGTTTTTGTAAAAATTTACGTGAACAAATTTATTTACTGGTCCAAATCGTTTTAATATAATATTTATTTCACTGTAATATGACATATATATTGTTGAAAAAGCAATACTGTTAACCGAACTTACTCAGAATCGTTTTTCATTGGCTAGAATTAATTTTTGATTACGGATATACATTAAAAATTTCCCTCTATAGCCTTCCTTCCAACTTCTCATTTACAACAGTGGTCCACCCACCATGCGAAGTATGTCTGTCTTATTTTCTCATCAATCATAAACATAAAATTAATTATTTCGCCCCCCCCCCACTATAGTCAAGGTGTAGAGACGCGTCTGTGGCAACCTATATTAAAAATTCTATAAATAGAAAGAGTATTAATTTTAAAAAAAATTGTTTGGCTGTAAAATTTGATTTCTATCAATTCGTTGAAGAGTACTCCACTTTTAAGTATAGGTTGGAGAAGTGTAGTAGAGTATCATTTATGTGATTTATGTGAAATTGAGAAATCGAAAATGTCAACATTAAATTTATTTTAGTTAAATACTCCATCTATTTATGAAACTTTTAACACAGGTCACCCAAAAAAGGGGGACAAAATATAATATTGTAGAGCAGCTTGTTTCTTAAATTTTTTAGGAAATAAATTCCAAAAAAAGTTAATATTTTCCGAGATAATAAGTGTACCCACTAAAATGGATCACCTGGTAAAATAAGGAAATTGAAGTTGAAATAAAAATTAAGTATTAAATGAACTATAATTAACTATAAGTTAATACGAGGGTAAGAAAACAAATTTAGATAGATAAGCGAATATTATTTGATAAAATCGAGAAACAAAAAAAAAATGTCTAGAGAAAAAAGAAATATTAATTAAACGAGTAAAATAAGCAAGTAAAATAAAACCGAAAAAGTTTTCGCACTAAGACGATAAATAATATAGAAATTAATATGATTAAGTATTTAGGGTGACTTGATTGGACTTGTTATTATTAATTAATTATAGTGATGGTTAGTTTTTCTATTTTTTGATACGACTGGCTCACTCTTTTCATTTTAGAGTCTGCTTTTGCTTCTTCCAATAACTTTCGGGTAAACTTTTTTTTTTCCCTCTTGAATATTCTACTTGCTCTCTTCTGACACTTCTTGTACACGGCTTCGTTTTCTTTATTATACTGGTCATTAAGCCATTGGTTTCTAGCATGGTTCCTCTGATTTAATATATCTTCGCACACATCATTGAACCATGGTTTTTTAACAGATATTACACTCCCAATTTCTGACTCTTTCATTATCTTTGAAGTATCTCCTATTTTATTCCATGTTTCATTAATTGAGTCATTTATGTAGGTATCAATCATCTTGATTTCCTCCGACATCTGAAATTTAAATCTTTCGTGAGTAGGTACTCGTGTTATTTAGATTAGCTGTCATATTTGACATAGTTAATAAAAATAAATAAATACATGTATTAATAAATTTATTTCAATAAATAAGTATTCAATTTAATAATATCATGAATTTTCCTTCGAATAATTTTAAGTATTAAATCTATTTTGTTGTGAGAATAAAATAGAATTTGTACACAATAAAATAATAGACTTACTCAAATTAAAATGCTTACTACAATGGATGGCACAAAAGTGCGCAGCTAAATTATTGACACTTTTGTACAGTAGATTAAGGTCTATTTAATAGTACTAATATATATGTGAAGCTCGAAAAAAACAATTTTTATTTTATAGGTTTTTAAAAACGTATGAATTTATCTTTGTATTATTTATAGATGTATAAATTTCAACTGCTACTATGGGTCGATAATAATCATAATCTAATAATTGGATCATTAAATACTATCTGTGATTGTATATTTTATGTAGCAAATGATAATCACTATGATTGGTTTCTATTTTATTAGGTGGAGAAGATTGAATTATATAATTATTATGAACCAAACATCACAGTATTTATTAAAATAAAACTTTTTATCTACTTAAATGCTTTATTTTTCCATAAATATAAATACATTTTGCTATTAATTTTGTACAACTCCAATTAGTGTAGAAATTATTTATAAAAACAAAAATTTGAATTTTTTGAAATTCTAAAAAACGATTTTTGGCCAGTTATTTTCATTTTTGGACTACTGTGTCCTAGGTAGGTTTATTTTCTTGACGGCATTTATATGGATATTATATTATAGGCAGTGGCGACGAACCTTATTTATGAGATGGGTGTACCTCCTAGAATTTAAAACGATTCTGAACAAAGTTCGAATATACACGTTTTAAATATAATATTTACAATTTTCGTCAGAATTCAATACTAAAATAATTATAAAAAAAATACTACATTATACTCAACTTTTTTTTGTTAGCCACTAAATACAATTTATAATGAAACTCCTGTTCAATTTTCAAGCATTTCTGTTTAGTCTAAGAATTGTGTAGAGTACCTACAAAGTAAAAACTACGTGAAAATTGTCCCGTTCCTTCTACGTTTTTATTTTGGTTTGGCTCAATTATTAAAAAACTACACAGAAAATCAAAAAACTCCTTAATAAATCATAAACCAAATTACGAATTCAACAAAAAAAGTTCCTTGTTATTTTTCAATTAGATTAATATTTCTGGTAGAAAATACCGTGTATACAAATTTAGAATAATGAAATTGGTAACGCCGTAGCGTGCTGTTAATATTTGCCGTTTTACCTACAATTTTTTTTCGAATTTTTTCTAATATTATTTTGATAACTATTCAGAAAATTAAATAATTGCCGTCTTTAGTTCACTAACCAAATAAAATTACCGTTCAGAAAAAGTGTTACACTCTGTACATTGAAGGAAGATTTCATGATAGAAATGTTGTTCACATATAAAAAATTGATAATAACGATAACATAAAAACACACATCATAGTAAAATCCTTCGTTATACACAGAATCTAAAATAAACATCATTATAAAAACAATATATTCCAGTCTATTTCAAATGTCAATATCGGTTTCTAATAAAGTAATATGATGAATTATATGAGAGATTAGGAACAAAAGTAGGCGAAAATGAAATATGTCGATTGGCCAAGGTTCGAAAATAACGGCCAGGGATTTCCATAATGTATAATAAGTGAAGACAAAAGGGTTTTAAACGAATAATGTGGATACAAAAGAAAGATGGCGTAAGTTTTTAGAGGAATTACTAAACAAGCAGTACCCAAAAAAGATTTTAGAGTATTTTTCGTGGAACAAAGGTCTGGTAGTTTTAGTGAGGAAGTATGGTGGGCTGTTAGAGTAATGAAAAGTAAAAAAGCGGTAGGTCCAGATGGTGTACCAATGGACTTGGAGAAAATGTTAGTTGAGCTATCACCATTAATTTGTCCTTTTTTTTCTAATAATATATTAGATTGTAATTGTAATATAATTTTAATGAAATACAAATGTATTGTTTTTATTTCTTACAAGTTTTGTTCCAGTCACTCCATTGTAAAAATAGTTGATTGGTTCATCTGGTTCATCTGATTCATCCAGTATTGGATCAATAGATCTAGAAATAATTGGTAAAAAAGAAATTAGTTATTATGACATTAATAATTAATAATTCATTCATTATTAAATGCTTTTCACTCAACCTTTTGTGTCAATTTTACCTTATAACAGTTTAAAGTTACAATCGCAGAAATCAAAAGGTAACAATTTGTAAAAAAGTGAATAATTATTTAAAAATAAAGTGATTAAAACTAAAAATTAACAAACCAAAATTCTTTGGGTGACTGATCTCTTGTATTTATTTTATAGAAACAAAAAACAATATTATATCTTAGATATAAATGAAGATCGGAATATATAATTAATAATGTTACTAAATTCATTAGTGGTGACCGAGATTCTTATATAATTATTATGTCTTAGGTTGAAAAAAAACTGTTATAAATTATACAAAACCGCAGTGAAACCTCCTTAACGGATACCTCTTAATAGTGGACACTTTTTAACATTGATACTGATCATTTTCGTAGGTTTCGTAGAATCGTAAATTAAAAATAATTATAGAATACCTGAATAAAAATCTACACTATTGAGTTATCTTTTTTTACTATGTATGTACATTATTATACAGTATTCATGACGTATATCTTATAATATCCGTCTAGTCGTTGACATATTATCGTGTCGATGAAATATTGTAACTTTCTGATGTATTTAATTCAAAGTTGGTAATATACACATATAAAACATTTTATATGTTACACGTATAAAAACTCACGTATAAAAGTTATAAAATGACTAGAACTTATAAAACTTTATGAAAACTAGACATTTTTTTTTAACTTTTTTATAATAGTAATAATACTATAAATTTTAAATTTCAAAAATTATTTAATAAACTTATAATTAATTAATATAACAAATTACATCAGTTTGGTGAATTTTCTTAAATTTAGAATAAAATAAATACAAAACAAATAATTTTTTGGTATTAATATATTATAAAAATATGAATGTAGTTATAAATAAAGAATAATAGATGTAATTATTACTTAGTAATTAAAACAACAAATCATAATAAAATATAACACATATCTTAGGTAATTAATATAAGATATATCAAATGATAATTAAATTCAATTGACAATTATTTTACCTGATAATTTCTATTCAGTTGTAGCAAAAAAAAAAAAAAATTGTATACAGTATAATACATGTTTACTTTACTGTATTATACGTTCCAATCCTGATTTAATTAATATAAAAATAAAATTTTTTTAATTAATTGTTTTAATAAAAATACAATTTCTCACTCTAAATAACGGACACATCTGAATAGCGGACAAAATTTAAGCGACCGAGAGTGACCGATACTTACGGGATTTCATTGTATACAAAAATAATATAATTATAATAAACTATGTGTACCTTTCCAGCTCCATAATTTCAATAAAATTCACTGTTATAAGTGCTTTTGGAAATAATTGCGACAAAACAAAGAATCCAAAATAAAATTAGGTAATAACTCATTAAGCACTGTTTATTTTATTTATTGAATAAATTAAACAAATTATAATTCAATATTTAAGTTGTATATTCTATGTATTTATCTAAGTGTAATTACTTGTCATAGGTAGTCATGGAAATTCAAAAGGCCAATTAATATAATTTAGTACTATCGTGAACTTGAACGATTATTTTTTTAATTTTGGCAATTATAAATGGAATAAAATTTAATAATACGAAATTGTGAAATCTCTATTCACAGTATGTAGATTACAAAGTTAGGTCGTGCAGGTTTTATAGTCATCCGAGTTACGTAGGTTTAGGTTCCGAGCAGAGCGCGAGATATCTATTGGTTTACTATGATGTGTGAGTTTTTTTTTCTGTTTATAAATATTATTTCAAACAGAAAATTTGATTCAATCAAAAAATGATACTTTTGAGACCTTTTTGATACATTTTGGATTATGTTGCCGAGGAATCAAATTATTTTTTTGATTTATCAAGTTGTTTCATAATAATTGGAAAAAAAAAACCGGAAGAATTCGTAAAATGAAAACTGACAAATTCACGGCATTGCGATTTCATTATTTTAAATTTGTCCGATTTACGTTTTCTAATAGAAATATTGCTGGAATAAAAAAATCACAATAGAACTTTTTTGTTAATCTAGTTGGTGAGTAAGTATGTAATAAATCTTTCGTAATTATCAGTTAGTAACCCATTACTATTAAGTTATATAGAAAATGAGATGTGATAATATAAGTAATAATGTGTAATAACTAATAAGTTAACACGTTTCCAAACATTTATAAAATGTTACAAGTTACTCTAACGATTCCTGTGAGTTCTGCTACACATGAAAAGAGCTTCTCATCGATGCACTATCTGAAAAATTGACGGTAAGGACAATTAATATGAAACAACAGAGTTTCACAGATTTATTAACATTAAATATTAAAAAAGATGTTGTTAGTATAAAATAACTTATTAAGAAATATTAGAAAAATTTTCCCCTATAGTAATCGTAAAATAGTATTTGTATGAAATATTTTAATATTATTTTTTAGTAAGTAATACAAATAATTTATAATTATAAATAATATATATACAGTGGTCACTCGATAATTCAAAAAACTCCATAAATCGAACTTTATGCTTGGTCCCCTGAGAAAACCTCTATAATTAAAAGAAAATACATATATTTCGGTCCTCTTGATAATTCCAAATATCTGTCGGTAAGAGACACTCTACAATTCTAATTTTTATACCAGAACCACTATAATTCGAATTTCTTTATTATTTTCATACATATTAACATATGCATAAGGTCAAATAAATGTATTGTAACGATTATATTACGATACGGTATGGTTTCAATAACCTAATTGAAGAACTCTTAATCAAACTAATAACGATAGCGAAGAAATATCATCGTAGTTTATCTTAAATCGCTTAAATTTAATTTAATTTTAATAAAACTTAAACGTGTAATTTTACCAAAATAAACCTCTGCAATAGGTAAACAGTTGTTGAAATCAAAAATGTTAAACGTAGTAAGTCTGAATATAGGTTTCGTAAAGTATAAGTGTTTGTCGCGCGCTGTTGAAAATATAGTGATTGCGGCAGTTGAAGCTGGTGAAAAAAAGATGTTGCCCTACATTTTTGTATTCCACCTTCTAAGCTTTCAACCATACTCAAACAAAAGGACCATCTTACTACATCGACCCGGACACCTTACTCATCGAGGAAGAAACAGAGAAAATCTGATCTGGAAGAATGTCTTATGGTCTGGTTTACTCAATGCAGGCAGAAAGGCATAATAAGGTGCACGTCCAAGAAAGAATATTGCGTATGCGACAATGATTATACGCATAGGTAAAGAATGTAATACATACTGAAGCAAAAACTGAGGCCCCCGGAGTCTAGTGGCATGAGAGGGTATAACACGATTGCGTACCTTTTAAAATGGATTAAAGAATACTGTAAAAAAAACAAAAAAAGCCAATTGCGGACGAATAAGTGTTCAACGTTTTCAAATACTATATACTCATTATACTCCATAATTATCCAGTACAATAATTTTATCTAAACAACAAAATTTAGAATATTATTACTAACAAAAAATAATAAAATCATACCTACACGGAGTTTCCTTAATGGGTTTCCACCGATAATTATTAACTAATATACATTACAATTTACTTCCGAAACGGTACCTCCCAATATAGTCGTTTAGTTATGAGCATAAAAACATTTCAAAAATTAATATATTTTGTTATATAGTAAATTACAATACAACAGTTTTGTGTAACGATTTGTAATACTACCTAGTTTTGATTTTTCATCGGGAACCTATAGTGAAAATAAAATTATTATACAGAGTATTATTTTTTAATAAATATTGGTGTGGACATTTTTGGTTTCCGTCAACCCGTTGACAAGATATTTTAGTTTTAGTATTTGATTGGAGAAGACTAGTAAAGTGTCATTTGGTTAGGTTAAGTGAAATAACTCGTCAAAGGGATGACGGAAATAACAAAAAAATGTATTTAAAGTAATATCCCATCTATTCGTGGAATTTTTAATATACGTTGCCACAGGCACGTCTCCAGACCTTGACTATAGGGGGGGGGAGGCAAAATAATTAAATTTTATATTAATGATTGATAAGAAAAAAAATAAGGACATACTTTAAGAATACTCCTTAAATTTTGTGCAAAATCAAAGTATTCGAAAATATCAGCTTTAACGACACTTAAAAATTCCAAAAATCAGAACACAAGCAAAATTTAACCAAAAAAAAATGGATTAAACACGCTTAGTAAATCATCCTGTATATTTTAAGTAACGAAATTTCCAGCGTATTAAGTTGTGTTTGATGTTGCGTTGATATCATTAGTAATTAACGTTTATGAAAAAGCGCAAAGTATTTATGAATTATTTCTTGTTCACTCGTGTGGAATAAACCGATCTGAAAATTGGCAACAATGCTTAAAATTTCGTACGCAATCGTGTATCACCGATAACGAACGTATACGCAATCGTGTTTTATCCGCACGAGGGCGTTGATCCTCCCCGGACCCTCCCGTCCTCCGAACTTGCGGTATGGCCGTCGATTTTCATCATCGGACGTCGCGTGTTATCACGGTTTATATTATAGTAGGTAGGTGTTTGTATTCGCATGCATAAAGCAAATGCATTGGAAACAGCAATAATCAAATTAATGATAGGTACACAATCATTTCGAGATCGGAGTAATGGTGGTATGAATTTTAATTCTTCGCCGAAGTCTCGCAAACTTTATACGTTCGTGTTTGGCATGTAATATAAGTAATAATTTTAATGTCTCTGGTGCGCGACGAATCCCTTTACGCATGAATAACGATTGTGAGAGCGGCTGGAGGGTATGTGCGGTGTTGTTGTGTGGGAGAACGGTGGCAATTTCTACAGACATTTGCAAGAACGATTGTGCCAGCTTCATAGGCTATAATAATAATAATATCAGTAAGTCCCCGAATACGGTATTCGACCAGATTACTGCGATATACCGTTTCAGTGTTATTGTCGGTAATAATAGACATTAACATTATTATTATTATTATTATTATTATGACTGCGAAAACAATAATAATTTAGTAAACGACAAAACCTATTTAGACCGTCTGCGCCATTTTCAAAACTGTTATATTATTCACCGAGGATTCGCTAAACGTCGGTAATTAAAATACGACACTATACGGTCTGGTCTTTTTTTACCGCGTCTAGAAAAGGTTACCTAAGGTTCTAACCTCTAATCATAAAAATCTAATGCCTAACCTCTGGGCTCGGTGCAAAAAGGGCCAATGTCAAAAAAGAAATAAAAAGCTAATACAGCTGATTGATGCGCGACTGTTGAAGGCGAGTAGTTGGGAAGGTAGATTATATTTAGTATTTAATTTAAATCTGAAGCAACGATAAACCATTGCTAAAGAAAAACGATTCTAAACGAAGTCCGTTTATACGTAATTTGAAAGTCCGTAATATTTACGATTTAAAAATAATATATTTCGTAAATTTTCCCGTTTTTCTTACAGTTTTTCCATTTAATATAAAAACCCGTAAAACTGATATCCATAAAGTACTATCCCAGTCAGATTTCCTTTTAAAAAAATTGCTACACTCGAAAATCGGAACAAAATTTCTAATTTAAAAAACAAATATTATTCATAGAATAAAAAAAAACTGACCTAAGATAATGGGGACAGACGCAACCACTGTATAGGTGAGAAGTTGAGAAGGTAATAGCGGGCAAATTTAATGCATGTCTGTAAGCAACGATAAAACATTGCTTACAAAAAACGATTCTGAGTGGAGTTCGATTGATAGTGTTGCTTTGTCTACAATATATATGTATATATCATATTATGGTATAATTATTACATGTGCATTATAAATTTTTTTTTAATAATATTTGTTTAACATTGTACATATTTTCCCGGTTTTTCTCGTTTATTGGAGAACTCATGGAAAAATCAAAAAATCATCTTTTTAAAGCACCGACCCAATCATTTTTCATTTCAAAAAAAGCGCATTCGTTGAAAATCAGAGCACGATTGCTGGTAGAAAAATTTTTCACAGAAAAAAAAGGACATATATTACTAATACCAACATAATTCGATATCTTAAGTATTTTTCTCAATAATTAGGAAAAACCAAAAAGACAAAATAGACGATTATTTTCAAATTACGGCACAATGATTTCATTATTTTAAATGTATACGGCTTATGTTTCTAAGGAAACTAAATGACGTCGCTAAAGTACTTCCCTTAAGTTTTGATAACGTTACCGTAAGAAAGTAAATCAAAAGAAAATAAAAAAAGTACCTTGTAATTTTTCAATTAAATCATTTTTTCTGACGGATAATGTCGTCCGTATTTTTATAAAATAATGAAATCG